GTGCTTTCAGAGAACCTGTCATATAGCAAGCATCATAGTGGGAAGGCAAAGGCGATCGCCAAGTCTGCTCCAGGGAGCTGAGTCTAACGCCTGGCTTCTCGTAGCTTGGTACTTGACCCGCAGCAGCAGCACCCCGCAGATCAGAAGATCATTAGAAATGCAAGGCCTCAGAACCCGCCCCAGCCCCACTGGATCAAAATCTACATGTTTAGCAAGGTACTGGGGGAAAAGTGCACTCATTGGACCACTTTTTGGCTCCTCATAGCACCTAGGCCTCTCCCTGTTGTCTCCAGCAAGGGATTCAGATGTCCCTGAGCCTCGAAAAATCCCTGACATCATCAGAGAAAATCCAAGGTGACCCACTACAAGCTGTTGCCTTGCACCCATTAGGATGGCCACTGCTAAGGAAACCAAACAAAGCCCAAGACTTGGCACGGTGGGAAGAAACCGGGGCCATTGCACACTGTCGGTGGGATTGTAGGATGGTGCAGCCACCACAGGAAACAGTGTGGAGGGTCCTCACAGAACTACCACAGGACCCAGCCACAGGGGCGTATACCTGGGGCCTCAGCTGCTCTGAAGGCTGAGGCAGGAGACTCCCAAGTTCCAGCAAGCAGGGTCAACTTAAGAAGACCTGTAACAAGAAATTTAAAAAGAGGTTTTTTGCTCTCACTGCTTAAGAGTTGCCCCTCTGCCATGTGTCGCTCTGCCTTGGAGTCAGCGAATAATGGGCTGGAACCTCTGCAAACTGTGAGCTAAATAAACCTTTTGTCTGCTAAAAAAGAAAAAAGGAAGAAATAAAGAAATTTCAAAAGGGCTAGGGATGTGGTACAAGGCTCTGGGTTCAATGTCCAGTACCCCTCTCAAATAAAGGAGAAAATAGAAAGGAAAAGAAGGTTAATACCGAAAGCTTTATTTATTTTTTTTACCACACATACAAAATGAACCTGGGGATTGTTAAAGCCCAGAGTCCAGGGGAAAGGCACTTGGACTCCACCTCTCAAAGGAACAGTGACAGAGCACCTGCTGTCACCTTTGCCACGTCACCAGGGGCCTGCCAGGGCTCAGCACCTGAGGACACAGATGGTGAGCTACTCTTTCTTTGCAGACTGCATTCTGCCTCCCGGGGAGGAAGGGCATCGGAAGACCCTGTAGAGAGGGGACTGGTAAAAAAAAGAATAAAAAATCCTTTACAGCAGACTGAGAGAAACTGACCAAGCTCATTCAGCCACCTGGAGTTTGGAAAAGAGCAGAGTGTTTTACAAGGTAGTGATTCCAGTGCAACCGCGGGAGAAAAGGCACCTGGAATTGCTCTCATTCGTTCTCACAGCAAAGATTCCATAAGCCGTCCCGTCACATAGCGAGGCTCTTTGCTTTCTCAGTGCCTGTCCCAGCCCCTGCACCCAGCGATCCTGACTGAGGGGACTCCGGACCCTAACTTTATAGGTCACACAGGAACAACCAGGAGAAACCAAACACCAATAAAGGCATAAAAAACTCAACAAAGTAGTATTTAGCCAGCCTGGACAAAGCTGCGGTTATACATGCTGCTCTGAGGAGCAAGTTCCAATGACAGCTTTGGAAAGGGTTTGCAAAAGCCCTTTGGAAACAGAATGTGGGCATCTCAGAGCCCATGACATGTTACAAGGTCAAACCTGACTGCACAAATCTCCAAAGTGGCACTGAGGAACTTGTTATCCAGTCCCATTCTGAGCAGGCCCGGGCAAATGTGACATCTTTTCAGTTGCCTGTCAGTTTCCCAATAGGCAATATCCACGGTGTATGGAAAATGTTAGCAGAAGTTTTGAAGAGCAGAGTGTTTTACAAGGCAGTGATTCCGGTGCAACCACAGGAAGGCTTCCAACAAATTCCCCAGACTGCCCTGATGCCCCACAGCCTCGAGACAAGAGGAATAGTGACCACATTGTGGGGTGGGAAATCCTGCCCTTTTTTGTCTTCCACCTATCTCCACAGATCTTTCAGAAGAGCTGGGCTCTACCAAACCTTCAGGTGGAAAACTCTGCGGGGCACACCATCTAAGTAATGGTAATGGCTTCCTAATTTCACCCCCCACCTGGAAAAGTGTCTTCCTGATGTTACATGTGGGGAGCATCTGTGCTCTGAGCACCGATGGAAGCAATATCCTGCTTATTTTTAGCCTAGCAGTCTGCAGAATCCTCGCATGCCCTGGGGTTCTTGTAGCATGTTGGTGTCATATACTAGAAAGAAAAAAATACCTGGTGGTAGCAGGGTCTAAGTAATTTAAACTGCAAAGCTTCCCTGCAAGCCTCTCGACACAATGTCTGCACTCAGGGCAGAGCCAGCATCAGGACAAGACAAGCCTAGTGCCTACAGTGGAAAGTTTAAGCAGGCACAGGATCCACATCCATGTGGCCCTGTGCACGGGCCTCCAAGTTTGAACCCCATGCATCTCACTCACCTCATTCTAGGCTAGGCCAAGTTCTCTAGGTTTGCGTGCTTGATTTTTCTCTGTGCTCCTCACCTCTCTGTCCACTGTTGATGTGGAGGTGGGGAGTATAGTCCCATGCTGATTAACAGTCAGCACAGGCAGCCTCAAGAAGAATGGACAGACCCATGAATGGTGAGATTACAGTGGAAGGTCCAATGAGAGGTTTGGCCAAGTGGAGGCCGCAGGTGACCCAAGCCTTTTGCAGACCCAAGAATAACTGTAGAACCATGCTGATGAATGGTTTGTCCTGGTCTGGTCAGGCCGGGGCTGTGGATTCAGATGATGGGGGTAGAGGATGCTGTTTGTATGATGGGTCACAGGCATTCCCTTTCTATGAAGGGCTCAGAGTCTTCCCAGGGAGCTGCCTACCTTGCAGGACACAGTGGTGGATGTGCCCACTTGGGAGCTGATTTGAAACCCATCCAACACTCATCATACCCAGCCCAGCTCACTGGGAATGTGTCCCACGCAAGCTGGGATGCAGCAGTGGACATAAGTACTTCCTTCCTGCAATCTCCTGGTTTTCCTTCATCCTGTGATGTCATAAACACAAGCCAGCAGCTCAGAGCTGGTGAAAGAGAAACAGGGAGTCTCTGGTTCATGGATGCCAATAAATTACTTGGGCCAAAAAACCTCCTCTATCGCGAAACTGGGAGGTATTTAAGTCTCAAGAACCAGGAAGGGCCTCCTTGCCCTTGTCTTCTGCTTCATCATACAGGTACAGCCCTGTGCGTGTCCACATCTTCTCTATCCTCTGTGCCTAGCAGCTTTGCAACACCTAGTCCCAAATTCTCTCCCAAATGTTTACAACCACCTCCCCAACAACCATCTTTCCCCATCCATGATACCTTCCCATCTTACTGGAAAACCCAGACATCCCCTTGTGAAGATTTAAAACAGAAAATATTTAGAGCTGAAGAATGAGGCTAGAGTGGCATCATGAAGCTCCAGCCTGACTCTGAATTCCACCAGGCAGGAGCATCTCTAGAGGTTCAGAGCCACCCAGAGCCTGGCACAAAGCAGCATAAGTTACTGCTGTTACTTTTAATATTATCAGAAGAAAGAAATATTATCCACAGTGCTCCTGCCAATATGCTCAGTCTTACAGAACCGTAAGAGCTGCGCTGTCACTATGATACAATCCTATTTCAGTTATCCCCTGTGCACTGGGTACGTTAACAGAGTCCACTTGCAGAGACACATTCATGATGTGCAGATCATGATGTGCAGGCAGATTTTTAAAGTGTGATGAAGACACGGAGGAAAATATTAAAAGCAACAGCAGAATCTTTTAGCTCTCTTCAGCACACATTCAGAAGCCAACATTTTGCCTTGTATTTCAAAGTGTTCTGGGATGCCTGTTTCCTTTCGGCCCAAATCTGCCACAGTGGCCAGGTAGGTGCATTTTATGCATCTTCACAGGTACCCTTAAGCCCTGGATAGTGAAGTCTATGAAAATCATCCAAAGAATGAGGTTGATCATGTACCACTTACACTCTAGTTTTGTTCATATTAGGCATAGTCCCTAATCTGTTGGAGAAAAGGAAAAGCAGACAACCCGGGGGCAGGGGGGGTGGGAGCAAGAGACCAAATAGATGTCAAGCATGATGGTGCACATCTGTAATCCCAGCACTCAGGAAGCTGAGGCAGGAGGATCACCATGAGGCCAACCTGGGCTACAGAGTGAGTTCAAGGCCAGCCTGAGCAAGACTGTGTCCCAAAACAAACAAATAAAGGCCAAGTATATCTTTACACACAAGATGCTCATCATTTATAGTAACAAGGAAGTAAAAATCTACCTATATATCTGACAGTAGTGAAACTGAGAACGGAATAGTGAGGGTATGGATTGGAAAGATATGTGAATAAAATGGAATGTTACTATGGGTATTAGAAATTGATATAGGTGATATCTTAGTGGAAATGTGTACACTTTTAATGTAATGATATAATATTAAAAACCTCATTTATGTGATTCCAACTATATAAGTAAATACATATTTACATAAGGAACAGAAGGAGCCATGGAAGAAAACGGTATGTCAGGGTGATTGCATTTCTGAGTGATTCATCCTTGTAATCATTGATTTTGTATTATCACATCAAGTGTGAAATAAAACTTGAAAAGAAAAGGAAAGTGCTAGTTTTCCATGTGAGGCAGGATCACGATGCTTGGGATCGCACTATATTCTTCTTTGCTCCTTGAGACGAGATTCAGGGCTTTCAGGGTGGTCTGGGCAAAGACCCTTTGCTCCTTCAAAACAGACTATGGTCTTCATGCAGACAGTGGTAATCTTGGGGTTTTTTTAAGAAGATCAGCTATTGGGAAGACTGTGCTGTGTGTTCAGTGAAACAATTCTCCAACTTCTCAGTCTTTTCTGGTAACAATCTCAGTGCATTGGAATCATTTGCTGGCATGTTTTCTTTTTCCGTGACAAATATTATGCACAAAAGTCTTACTGACCGAAAATAATGTGTCTTTTTCTCTTCCCCTCATCCTTTTTCTCTCTCTTCCCTCCCTTTTTTACAGTTCTGCTAAGCCAATATTCTCTAGAATGAGCACAAAACAAATCAAATAACAGCTAGACAAATCGAATAACAGCTTTTGTACATCAACATCAAGAAGGAAAATGCTTGGGAGAGATCAAAGTCCAAGGACTAATACGCTCAAGAGTGAAGCATCCACTCGTCAAAGCACCTTCTAAATGTAGATCCGCAGAGATGGGGTGATTTTCTGGAAAGAGAGGTGATCACAGATTAAACACCAGCTCACTGGAAACTGTCATTGGAAAAGGTCAGATAATATTCAGTGAAAAATCATATTCAGGAAACATCTTAATGAAGAGGAATATAAATGTGCTAGAATTAACATGTAAAATGTGTATGTACTGAGGTTTGTAAACTGTCCTTTTTTAATCAAACCAAAACCAAAAAGCTTTAATCTTTCAATAGTATTACAAAAAAAAAGGGGGCAGTTAGTTCTAGATTATTCCTATCTCAGTAGCCAAGAAGCTGATCAAGAGTCATTTATTGAGGAAGCAGTTTAGGAAATGCCTCTGATCTTTGGTTCTCTGTCTCTACTGTTCATTTATTTCACTGTGTAATTAACTACAACCATTCAGTTGTTAAGAAATGCAACACTTCAAACTTTTTATCAAGTCTGTGTTCAGTTGAACCTATCTGTACAAGTTACTACCGAGAAAGTGTTTGCAACATACACTCAGACACCACAGAGCTGTATATTCCAGGAAGTACGTCTTGACACCCTAGGTTCCCAAGCAACATAGATTTCCCTGACTTTCAGGAAACAGCATCGAGGAACTCTGAAAAATACAGAAAGCTTGTTTTTCCCTTGGACGCTCACATGTAATATATAGGCTGCTAACAAACACTTTTTAAAAATTCTCTCTACTATACGCATAGGAATTTAATATACTTTATAGATATCGAAAATATTTGGGTTTTGTCCTATTTCTTTGCCATCTATATCATCAAAAATCCATATCATTTATTTCTCTGACTGACAGGCATTTGCTTTTTAAAAAAATTATTCCATTAAAACTATTTCTAAGTGATAGTAAGTGGTACTAAAAAAATAAATAAAAATTTAATAGCCTTAGAAATAAATGACTATATACTTATACAGGTCAAAGTAACTTGGTAAGGATAAGTTAACTTTTTATTTACTAATGTTGGTCCCAAAATTCTCAGAGTTTTTTCTTTTTTAGTTAGCTGGCCATTTGGAAGTAGTTACAGTTAACCAGTTGTTTATAAAAACATGTTGTTCCCAGGATTCCCCCACCATCTCCCTCATTGCCTATCTTACCAATATCCTGCAACACAGAATACTTAAAATTGAAATAGTCCATTGCCTGAGAATGAATGCAAGCTAAAATGTACATACAGGAATACTCAACAGAAGCTAATCCATGTTCTATACTCGATCCAGAAACATGAACGTACAAAATGCCTTCATTCTGGCTTGGATAGATTAAGATCCACTTAGCATATATCTCTAGACCATCAGACTGATGATAACGTGGACACAGAGCAGGGCTGACTTCTCTAACCCTTTCTCTTTTAGGCACACATTTATGTTTCAGCCAGAATTTTCTGGTACTGGCCATGTTTTCATCATAGATGGAATAATATATCAAATAGCTAAAGTGTATTACAGGTAGGCTCAAGTACATAAGACCCAATTTACAAAGATGTGACTTTTTGAAAGAACTAAATTAAGGGACTAGTTAGAATCTGTAGCTACAGTCCTAGTCATTCGGGGGATTATCTATTGCTTTAAGTATTAGCTGTCCTATTGCATTCAGAACACCCTACTTCCTAAATTTAATTACACACAACTTTTCAAGAATTCATTTATTTATCTCTCTAAAATAGAAACAGAAAGTGTCAGCTTTCTCTAATCCATGGCAAGTACAAACTCCATTAGGAGTCCTACATCACTAATAGTGGTATTAGCAAAAATGAAAAAGTACTTCCCATTCATGTGCAAATGTTTCTAAGAAGTTTTTGCTGTAAACCTAAGTGTCATTTAGCATACCACAGTGCTATGAAGATAAGTCATCGATGATGTACCATTTGTACATAGACAATACACATGTAAATCACTAAATGTTAAGTACAAGAAAGTATGTTTTTATCTTTTTAAAGAAAAAAAAAAGTGACTCCCTTTCTCATTCTGTTCTGTTGTATTCTGTCCAAAAGTTGTGTGTAATTTTTTTAAGGTCCAGGAAATGTAAAGAAATTTGTTGGAATATCTGAATTTCTGTAAAAAAAATAATAAAAATAAGATTTTGTTACTTAAGAGAACGCTTGGTGGTGTGGTAGACATTTGGTGTATTCAATCTCTGTCTTGCCCCAGTGATCTAGGGTAAGCATCTGGTTTGACTAAAGCAGCTCTCTTCAGAAAAACGTGCTGCTGCATCCCATAAGAGTTGCCAATTTCAGACATTTATTAGCTGTGCAGGACTGTCAAGTAAAGGTCACACTCAAGCCCCGCAAAGCTTCTTCCAGGCGACCATACACATTTCTCCAGCCAGTATCCATGCATTCCATGGGATGATGTTGAAAACTACTAAGTAGCTAGACTGCTTGAAATCTCCAACTGTTCAATCTCCACTCTGCAAATGAGAAAGAGCTGTGTATTACTTAGACACCCGCAAGCTTGTTGCAATGCTTCATGCTGGGTAAATGTTGCCCAGGAGAGTCTCAAACCCAGATGCTTCATGTAGAATGCAACCCTGAAAAACTAAACCTCAGGATCTTCACCTGCAAAATTGATATAAATAATACTATCCAACCTCATAGCATTGTTGTGAGGATACAAATGATAGTATTTGTGCTGGGCAGGTAGAGATTCTCAGTGTTAATTTCTTCCCTTCCCACTATGTGCATGATATTGAAGGAAGAAAAAAAAAAGTGAAACATGAAGTCCCTTCTTTTAAAACATGGAAGATAATTACAGCAACATTAATGAGCCAGGTTGGAAAATTCAAATGCATAGAGGGCCCAGGTAGATTTTAAAAAGTAAAGCAAGCTGGGCAGGGAAGGTGACAGGAAGCAGCGGGAACTAGGGGGCAGTGATAGCTGAAATCCTGTCTAAAGGGAAAACACAGCCAATATGCAGCTCTACTCATTCAGCTCATACCAACTTTCGTCTTTTTAAATGATGAGAGGATCGGGGTGCACCAGATGAGCAAGATCCCAGCTCTCAGTCAATCTGTGCTCTAGTCTGGGAATTCAGACAATAAGTAGGAAAATGTCAGCTGAAAGTCAGTGCCCTAGAGAGAATTAACCCAGGGTGATGGGAGAAAGAAATAGGAAGGCCTCTGGGAAAAGATAGCATTTAAAGTGAGACCACGATGCTAAGGAGCCTGCCAGAGCTGAACTGTGCCCTCGATAAAATTTAAAGGTTGAAGATGTAGCATTTGCTTAGATGTGTAAGGTCCTAGGCTTGAACCCCAGCACTGGAAAAAATACTACTATAATTAACATAGATAAATAAACAGATGAAAAATTGATAGAGGAGCCAAGCATACAGCTCCGCAGCACAGCACTTGCCTTGGTAAACTCTAGTTTGTTCAATTCCTGGTATAACAACAAAAAGAAAAGAAAATTGATAGGAAGGGACAACAGGGTAGGTCAGGAAAAGGTCCATTAGACAACACAAACTTGGTCAATATTAGGAGGCAACTCTACACACATCTCTTGTGGTTCTGCACATCTTCTGAGCAGAGGCACTGACTGTCTTTATCCCAGACTACCTCCCCCAGACTATCCATTTAGCTCATACTGGAAACATTCTGACAAACATTTCTCTGCAGAGAAAAGAATGGGTTTGTTTTCTGTTCAATAATAACGACCCCAGAGTTCAGCAGAGGCAGAGTTCAGCGAGCCAGCCCATTAAAAAAGACTCTCCTGTCCCATAACCCACTACAGTGCAGGCAGCACCACACCCTCTTCTAGCCCTCTAGGAACTGTGCCAAGGGGAATGAATGCCAACATGCTGCTTGCTTTGCCATGAGTAATAAAATCCTTTGTCTCTGACCCAGGAGTCTCACATTTCTCCCAGCATCTATCAGACTGGCAGGTTACCTTGTTAGTTTCCAAAAATGATGAAAATCTAAGACTCATCCCAGTTATCAATTTGAGGAAAGAAGGAAATTAGATATCTAGCTTACATCTTCCATAAAAATCTACCCCACATGAATTAAAGAACAACTGTGAAAGGAATAAATTTAACTTTTCTCTTGTTTTTTAAGTTGACAGATAACACTGTATGAGCTCATTGTGTACAATATGAAGGTTTAAGTACATGTTCACTGTAGGAGGTCGAATCTAGCTAATTAACAAATATATTACTTCACATAGTTATCAACTTAGTGATTAGAGCACATAACATCTGCTCTTCGTTTTTCAAGAATATAATAAAAAATAACTTCAGAAGAAAATATAGATTGCCTTGGGAAAAGGAAAGATTTACTGAATGAAACACAAACATCATAAAGGAAATAATTGATCCTCTGAGTTGCCCAATATAGGTTCAAATTTGTGATCATCCTGCCTCTGCATCCCAGAGTACGAGATGACAGGCATGCATCACTGTGTCTGGCTGTGAGAAGATATTTGCTAAATATACTGCTGATAAGTACAACAATCCAGAATATATAAAGAACTCTTAAAATTCAACTTTATAACAGGAAAAAAAGAAACATGATATAATAGCCTAATGTAACTATCAATTTGGTATACTGTTCCATAGTTTCAAAATATATTTTTAATATGGATTATCATATGTTCACATTTTTAGATGGTAAATATTTTTATAGGCCATTTATTTTACTTAACAGCTACAAAATGGTCTATCATAACTTGATCCACTATAAATTTAAATTGCTCCCAGGTTATTAAGATCTTCACCACACCCAGGTGAGATCAAAAATAGCACTGAGATAATTATTGTCATGTTTATAGATTTATTTTTTCTATACTTTGGAATATTCTGTAGAAAGAGCCACAGAAATGAGATGGCCAGATTGAAAGGTACGGCTATCATCATACTTTGACATATTTTTCCCCCAATGAGTTGTACCAACAGCACTAGGTCTTTCTTTTTTTAATTAGTGTTAGCTTAATAAAAGAACAATAATGTCTCAAAAAGCAACCTTTGAAAAGCAGAAAGAAAAAAGGAAAGTAACTAAAAGATATGTACAGGAATATAACAGCAAAAAATGCAAATTGCAGCCATATTAAAACATACTCAACTTCAGCAGGAAACAAAGGTAGCAACTGATAATACAATCATAACACTATGATTTTGATTGGCATAAACTAGAAGTCTGACCACATTAAGTACTGATGAGGTTGTGCAGTGGTGAGATTTCTCACGTAGACTTATGGTGGAAGTAAAAACTGGTACAATCTCTTTGAAAAATAGATATTATCTTGTAATGAACATGTGTATACATAAATTCACCAATTCTATTCCTAGGTAGATATGCTGGAAAAATTCTTGCACCTAAGCAACTACAACAAAACAACAAAGGTATAAAAATAGAAACCCTAAAAGTCATCAACATGAAATAAACTATACATTATTCACTATTTTAATTATTGATTAAATGAATACCACCATAAACATGGGAATGAATAAGTCTCAGCTACAAGTGTGAACAAAAATGATTATGTGAAACTAGAAATACAATCTTGAGTAGGGAAAGAAAGTTTCAAAAGCTTACTAACACTCCACTTTTATAAATCTGAAAAACAAACAAAACTAAACTATAAATCCCAGCACTCAGAAAGCTAAGCCAGGAGTATTGTTGTGAGTTCGAGGCCAGCCTGGGCTACATAGTGAGGTCAAGACCAACCTGACCTGCACAGGGAGTTCCTGTCTCAAAAACAAAACCAAGGGGGAAGAGGACTCTAAATGGTTTGGTGACAAATACCTGAATGGTAAAGCAACAAAGACATAACTATGGGAATGAAACACACAAAATTCAAGAGCATAGTTACTTCTGGAGAGCAGGAAGGGCCATCCAGGAAAGGCGTGCAGGCTTCTTGAGTAGGTCCAGTGTTTGAGTGGAAGGTTCATGGGCTCATTTATTTTATACTTTCTAAGCTACCTAAGTGCACATCAGTGTTTTTTTAAATCAAATGTAACCAAATGAAACAAGGTAAAATGAATTGAATGAATATTATCAGAAAAAATAAACTGAATATTAATGACAATTGTGAGGAAAAGAAATGATAAGTTCAAGAGAAGCAGCAGGGACATTGAAGCGAAGCTATCTTGTCAGGAGGAAGAAAAGGTGGTGGCTTAAACTAGAATAGTAAACCAGGCATGGCGGTACACATCTGTAATGACAGCACTATAATTTGAGTCCAGCCTGAACAATTTAGCAACACAAGACCCTGTCTCAAAATAATTTTTAAAGAACTGAGGCGGTTGCTAAGTGCAGAAAGCCCAGGTTCAAACCCCAGTTGGGGTTGAGGGGCAGATTTAAAATGATGAGTGGCGACGGAAAGAGACGGTTAAATTTGGGATAGTGTTGCAGACACAGGATTTTCTAGGAGGGCCGCTCTGAAGAGAGGTGCCGTTATGGTTTGGATTTTAAATGTCCTCCAAAGGACATATGCTAAACTGGGCCATTTGTCAATCTACAGTGCTATCGAGACCTTTAAACGGTGGGGACCTTTAAAAGGTGGGGCTTAGTGAGAGGAAGTGACGTTAGGCGTGGGCTGGACGTGGTCCTTGGGACCCGCCCCTTCCGGTCTCTTCTCAGTGGCCCAAGTGAACCAAGCCGTTTTTCTTCGTGGTGCTCCCGACTGTGAGGTGCCGCCTTCGCACAGGCCCAACAGACCATGAACTGAAACTTCTGAAGCCGTGAGCAAAAAAAAAAAAAAAAAAAAAAAAAAAAAAAAAAGTCTTTTCTCGTTTTAAATGGATTTTCTCACGTATTTTGCCCCTGAGACAGAGAGTAGACTAACAGTGCTTGGAAGGGTGGAAAGCGGCAGCTCAGGAAAGGCAGGCTGGGTTGTGAGGGGCACAAAGGACTCCAGAGGCTGCACTCAGCTGGCGTGGCCTTGGGGTCCTCACCTGAGGGGCGGAATCGGCACCCTCTGGCGTCAGCGTGCCACTGTGTGTGGGCCGCGGCCGGAAGGGCGCCTTGCTCTGGGCTTGGTGGCTCTGCCCCGAGCACCTTGACTTTAGAAGTGAAGCAGAGGGGCTAATGAAAGAGACCAGGAGGGGCCCACAAAATGCGGTGCCGTAGAATCTGGGAGTGGGAAAAGTAACTGGAGAAGTAGAG